AAAAAAAAAAAAAAAAAAGGGAGGCCAAGAAGTCAGCAATTGGTCCATTCTAAAGAGGATTTTGTGGGTGAAATCAGTCATATTCCACATTAGAAAATTAGAATACTAGGTAAAGGAAGTGAAGGAACCCAAAGGCTTATGGTAATCACAAGGGGCATTTTTAAATGAGCCCTGAAAATCCGATGAATGTGAATGTTTTATATAAAATCAAACTCAGCTGATGATTTTCAGGTCAAAATAACTTTACTTATTCATGGGAAGGCTCTCCCAAGTAACACAAAATGTAATTCTTGGTTTATTAAAGGGGGTGGGGGGGTGGGATCACAACTGACACTCATTATGATATCAAAAGTATTTGACTTCACCTGCTTTGTAGAAACAAAATCAAAAGCAAAATAGAAGGTGCTCATGATGGCAAGCTACCCACAGTCATTTGCTTTCACCTGATTCAAAAGTTGTGGCAGAAAACCAAACAAGCAAGAAACCTTAGAAGTGAACGAATAGAAAATTACAACCTCAAAGACAACACACAATTTATTCTAGAGAGCACTGGGTAATAAAGCCCTGAAAAAAAATCTCACACATCTATTTATCTTTTCCATGATGACTTTACTAAGAAAAGCAAAAACTGCAAAAGCCCAAGTTTAAACTGGGAAAATGAATGGAACTGCCTAGTGAAGATGATCTTTTTTTCCCCCTTCTTCCCATCATATTATTTATTTATTTAAAGATTATTTTATTGGGAGCTCTTATCACTTTTATAATAATCCATAAAGAAGATAATTCTTTTGGAAATACAGGAGGAGAAAAGCAGAGCGCAGAATGAACTGAATAACTAGAACCAAGAGTATTAGATTTCAACATTCAATTACTGACTAGACAACAAAACTCCTAACAATAATTAAAAGAAAAAATGTTTAATTAAAGATTATACAGTAGTAAGCAAAACTGTTGTTTTCATCCAAGTGATTCAAAGTCTTGACAATTCCATGAACATAATAGTAAACAAATGAAACAAACATGAATACCATTTTGCTCTTAGTAACTGGCACACGATTTTTGGTAAGTCAATTGACGCCAACACTATCATGAAGGAAGCAACGGGGCCAGACACTTTTGGTAAATGTGCAACTGATTATTCTTTCTGAAAATTTCCCAGCACAACTGAATAAAAATTTATAATACCCTAGAATTCTAGTAACACAACCACAGAACTATTTACAGTAGGAAAAGCTAGAAATGACACAAAATAAAAAAAGAATTTGGAGGAGCTGATACGAAGGGCTCAAGCGGAGAACAAATGTTTTGAGAATGATTATGACAACAAATGTACAAATGTGCTTGACACAATGGACGTATGTGTGGATTGTCATAAGAGTGATACGATCCCCAATACAATGATTTTTTTTTTAATTGTGATACTTCCACGTGAAGTAATACCATGTATTTACTAGAAATATTTTTGAAGAATATTTAATAGGAAAATGCTCAGTACTTATTTTAGAAATAAGCTAAATAACCTACACACAATATAACAATCATATTTAAGAATTCTTTATGTATTAAAAAAATAAAGGAAATGTATTCAAATGTTAATAAGACTGTACATGATAGAAAAGTAGTTTGAGTTGGTTTTTTTTTTTTCAGTAGTTCTTTTTCCACTTTCTTTACATTGTTTCATACTTTTAGATGTTTCCTACATTAATCTTTGATTTGAAACTACATTATTTTTTAAAAGACAAAGACTATCTTAGTGTATTTTTACATTCTTGGTATGTTATGGCGATGGTGTTTTATAAACAATTATTTCCTGTTATCGTCCTTTCAAAATGTCAACAAAATAATTCCCCGTAGGCTTAAGTTCTTAATGAAGACATCTCTTAGTAGATAAATTAACATTTTTCACATTGTAAGGAATAATTCTATCCGTCTCAGCTTCTCAGAGATGTGCATGAAGTTATCTTTAACTCAAAACTTAATTGTTCTTGCCCATTTTAATAAAATTATCAGTAATACCAAATAATGCTTTTACATTTGCATAAACAGAAATTCAAAGATATTTATAAACAAACATATAAAGACAAGGTGACTTCTTAGGTCATTTAATTAAAACTTAGAGAAGTATAGTAAATTTTACTCATATCATGGACTATCTCATAGCAACTTACCTGTTAGTGGAGCTGCATGAAACGTTTGTGATCCTTGATAGCCATCAGGCACCGAGTCTGCTCCATAATTCTCTGTGGGCCAACGATGAGGGGATGCTGAGTTACTGCTACTTAGTTTCAATGCCTGCATTTCTTTCTATTGGGAAAAAAAAAAAAGACATTTCATGCACTTTATTGTTTGGGTCATCTTAAAATCTTACACTTAAGTACTTGATAATACTTTTGAATAGATTCTATTTTTCAATGTGATCTGGTTTTAATAACTGATTTAATAACTGGCTGATTTTAATAACATGATCCTCAGTTTATTAAAAACTCAATTATCTGTGCAGATTCTTCCATTTCTTAATACCACCATCTAATTCAGAGGTTCTCAACTTGTGGGTCGCAATCCCTTTGGGTGTCGAATGACCCTTTTACAGGGATCACCCGATTCATAACAGTAGCAAAATTACAGTTATGAAATAGTGGTTGTGGGGGGACACCACAACATGAGGAACTATATGAAAGGGTCGTGGCACTAGGAAGGTTGAGAACCACTGATATAATTAATTCTCTCTGTAACTCTAACCTATTATTAGTAGATAACTTCCTCAACGGAATTCATTCCATCTTACACTTGCCTAGATTAATGCTTCTTAAGTTCAGCTCTTATCAAGACATACCCTTGCTCAAAATACTTAAAAAAAACAAACCCTCTGACACTGAACTGATTCCAACTCGGAGTTACCCTAGGATTCTCAAAACTGTGAATCTCTATTGAAGCAAGCAGGCAGCCTAACGTTCTCCCATAAAGTGACTGGAGGGTTTTGAACTGCCGACCTTGCAGTTAACAGCTCACTAAAACCACAGTGCCACCATATATTTAACATTCTCAGACACTCACAGTTCTTAGCACTATTAGCTTAAACAGCCTTCACGTTTTTCCTTTTAAAATCCATCTGTGCTACTTAGACCTCTAAGACAAAAAAGACCTGCCAATGCCGTTTCCAAAGCTACAAATCTTTAAGAAAGCAGACGGCCACATCTTTTGTAGAATGGCTAGTGGGCCTGAACTACCAAGCTTTGAAATAGTAGCCAAGAACTGTGCCACATAGGTAAGGTGACCAGACATCCCACATTTGGTGGGGCAGTCCCGATTTTTAACAATTTGTCCCACGTCCCACGGCATCTTTTAAAAGTTCTGATTTTTTTTAAAGACTGCACGACAAGCTAGGGTATACGGTTTTCGGCTGCCATATGGCTATTTCGCCAGAATATGAGTTTTATCAATGGTGTCCCGCTTTACCAATGTTAAAATCTGGTCACCTTACACATAGGGTACTACTATTAGACATTACAAATTATCTCCCTATCCTAGAATCATCACTTTCCATTTATCAATGTTTGAAGTAATTATAATTAATCTTTCAAAATGAATGCTTTCAAATGCTAACTCTAACCAAAATGGTGAAAGAACAACAAGTACTATTTCCTTGGAATTTATTACAAATATATGTCCTAGGCACAAGTTATTACTTCCAATACATTGTTAGATAAATAATTTTAACTCAAATCTTAAGAAGGGAGTGGGGTGAGGTAGGACGGGACTAAGAAATGATATCATTTAATTCAAACAAGGCAGGTCTCATTCCAAAAATGTTTTTAGACCACCACCATGTTGTTTAGACAAAATGGTTGACACAGAACCTTCTAGTTTAGCTAGGGAGCCCTGGTGGCCCACTGGGTTAGCCTGGGATTGCTAACTGCAAGGTCAGCAGTTTGAAACCACCTTCTCAGGAGACTGGAGGGGGGGAGGCTTTCTACTCCTGTAATGAGGTACAGTCTCTGAAGCCCTCTAACACAGCTCTACCTTGTCCTATTGGGCAACTATGAGATAGCTCTGATTCAGTGGCAGTGAATTTTTGGTTTTGAGTATAGCTATTTGGCTAGCTACTTCCTCAGCTACTATATAAAGACATAAACGGCAACCTCTGAGAACCCAACTACAAGACCCTACACAATGTTCCTTACAAAACGGGTATTCATCAAGAAGCCTTTTCGCTTTCCAAGGAAATCCGTGTTTCACACAAGAGGTAAAAAAAAAGTATCAGATGTTCCAGTATCGGACCAAGCATCCAATCTAGCACACCGGTTTTCTTCTTCTAGGGGTGTCTGCCAATAATAAGGTTTCCTAAAATTCTGATGTTCACAAATGTCTCCATTTTCAGTCCATTTCCAAACTAAAACTTTTTCCCACACACCCATCCACTGTGCTTTGTCCACATGTTGAACACGCATAAAAGAAATGAGTGGAGCAATTAAAAATTTTACTGGTCACTATTAGTATCTAATCAATATATGTACAGTAAAAGTTGAAGACAATTAGTTACTCCGATTCTCTCGCCTGATAAAAAGAAAACCCTCACTTGATAAAAGAAAAACCATACAGAAAGATAAAGTACAACTGATCCAAATCTCATTAGGTAGTGGGGAGTCAGTCCTAGAGCCAAGTTTTTCAGATTCTACTACATTTCCACAAAAATTGATTTGAGGTACCTGAAAGATACCAGAGGCCAAAACTGAATGTAATGTAAGAGGTCATGAACTTATAAAATCTTTGCATAAATTAAAAACTGTGTTCCCCTACAAACCTATTTTAAGTCTCACACAGTTTATTGTACTGTAAAACCTGGTAGTGTGGCAGCACACTTCAAAACCACTATGGTCTGGCTTCAAACACCTTCCATGTTGGTTTGTCCCATCAAGTCCACTGCAACTCATGATGACGCGTACAGATATGGTTTAACTCTTAAAGTTTCTTAGTTCTTGCCAAAAGTAAGATCCAAAAATTAAAGTCCCTTTACCCTACAAGTTAAAATTGTTTCCTTACTCAGTTAAGAGTTTAATATAAAAGTATTTTGAGAGACTTTTTTGAGGTTTAGACCATTTTTTTCATTCCTATCAAGCTGACCTTCAGAATGAACTCACAGGCCAAGATAAGATTAATAATTTAGAAGTTAGTTCAAGTCTATCACCTGAGAACGTCCCCTATGCCAGGAAGCACCTATATTTAGGACAAACTGTCCCTATCTTTGAAGGATTTCCATCTTCCTATCTTGTGGGGTAGTCAAACACATCATTTTAAAAAATGTATTAAATGTATGCAAAAGCGAAGTATGATTCTACAGAAGCATGGCAAGTAGGCATTTTGCCAGCTTTAGAAAGAAGTACAGACATGGTTGGACACTAAATCTTAGAATAATAGAGGCACAGTTTAGAAAACTAAGTGATTTACCTTAATAGCTTCTACTTGTTGGCAGATCATTTTCAGCAGAGAATTTTGATCTTCTGCCCATCGAGGTGGTGTTTTAGGAGAATACTATAAATATAACAGCAGCAGCAACAAAAAAAATAATTAGGACATCTAAATCAAGAAAGTTCACAATGGAATAATTCAAAATGAAGTAATTCCTTCCTACTTACTTTATAACTTTTATTAGGTGACAGAGAATACTTGGTGGGAGATGGTGTAGAATGTTTTATTTCTGAATCAGCATTTCTCAAAGAACCGTTTTTATAAAGAGGACCTCCTTCACTATAGTCTTCAAGTTCTTGCATGACTGAATTAAGCAGCTCCTTTACAGACTCCAGAGGCACAGGTAACTAAACACAAAAGGTATTAACCAAGGTTTTAGGTTCCCAAACATCAAAGTCAGAATTCTGAAATTACTATTTCTTCTTACCAATTTATTTAAATTTTACTCACTTTTGTACAGCAAGCACCTTACACGTTATTTTTGTTACTTTTTCCCCACTGTGCGACTAGCTTCAGTGCCCGAAGCCCTGAAGGGCTACAGTTTGCTCTGGCTTGGGACACTGTGAGAAGCCCATAGGAACAAGCCTGCCATCCATAAATCCAAACCCATGCCTCACCTTACACTTTAAATTATACACATGAAACTGTTTTGTAATCATCACATTCTGCAGACTAGTCTTGACTGTAACATCCATGCTATTATTTCTCTTAGTCATTGGTAATAGGGGATTATTAACTTGGGAAGTTATTCTGAGCGAACAAATTAATTAGTGATGTTTTCTAATTGATTGTGAATAAAAAATAGATGCCAGACTGCACTATGCAAAATAAATTCAAATCCAAAAACAGCAACAACAACTAGTAAACAAGATACTTAGAAACAGCAACACCGATTAGTAAACAAGTTACTTAGAAGGCTTCACCTAACTGAAATTAACACCATGACGACATTCTCAAACTAATGACGGCTGCAAGTAAGACAGTCAATAGTGAGAGTGATAGAAGCATGTGATGTTATCAGCAACAATGTTCAATTTTAGGAAAATATTTAAATGACAAAGAATTAGTCTTTATGTTGCAATACTTGCATTGATTACATTGCCAAGATAACAAAAGTAATGTGGTCCAATGTAAGAAACCATCTACAATTCCCCAAGGAGTACTTGCATAAGAAATACACACCTAGAGTCTCAGATTTTAAAATGACACAGCAAGATAATGTCAAATATTTACACACCAAAAACATACATCCCAAGCATTATTGACAAAATGTCACTGAACATTTTTGAAAATGTCGAAATAGAAATTCAAGACAAAAGTACTTATTACTCAATTATGAATAACACAAAAATACAAACAAAAATCTGCAACTTACTTTCTTAATCACTGCTGGATTTGAGTCACTATCATCTAAGATTTTTATCAGATAGTCCCTGGATTTTCTCAAATAATTTTTGCATTCTTCTTGTTCTTCAAGAGAAAGGGAATCATTTTCAATGTCTTCTGATTTCCTGTGAAAAATCTACACAAAGAGAGCCTTTATAAATAAATTAGATTTTTACAACAGCAAAACTTTTACTTGAGGTGCCACACCTACTTACCAGTGCAAGATGCCAGTAAGAAACAACATTTTTTACAGATTCAAATGTAGTCATAGCATCTTCTATATTTCCGTTAATTGCATCCAATATAGCAAATGCTATTTGTGCTGCTTCTTCGTGTTCACCAATTTCAGACACCTAAAGAGATTTGGGTCATTTTGGAAATTATTTTCCAAAGATTTTAGATGATTTAATGAGATTAATGTTATCTTTTCTTATCATATTTGCAAAAGCTAGGAATTCAGTTAACAAAACCACATTAAATATCCAGGCAATTAATTGAAGCAGTCAGTATCACTACTTCTTGATTTATAATCTACAAACCATTATCTCTTTTTAATATACGCAATAATTCTCTCTTACCTGTATGTCTGCACTATGAAAATGTTTGAACAGAGGATCTGTGGGTTCAGGAACACTGGTCTTCTTCTTGATTGTCTTCAAAAATGGTAATATCTTCTTCCAATAATAAACACTTCTGCCTATGTATTCCCGTTGATCATAAAACGAATTAAGTTCACTGCCCTGAAATACAAAATTGAAACTTAAGCCCAAGGAACAAAAATCATCGGATATAAAACATTTATAAACAGTCATAATTGATTAAACTATCAAGTTAGGGAAATAAGATGAGACAGTCCCCGATCTTAGCAGTCCCAAATCATCTCACAGGAAGTCCAGCTAATACAATTAACAAAAGAAAAGGAAGAGAAAGGTATACAGAAAAGGAAAAAAATAAAACTATCCTTCTTTGGGGGTATGACTACTGAAAATCCTAAAGAACCAGCAAGAAAACTTTCTGCAACTCAAAATAAGTGATTGCTATCAAGGGTGTAGGAATCCTGCTGGTATGGTGGCAACTAAAGATACCATGGCTTGGGTCAGGCATACCTCATTTCTCAGAGTAACTCCCTTGCTTTTCAATACTCTTAAAGAGATCTTGTGCAACTTACCTTTTGATCTCCTGACTGCTGCTCCCATTTACATTGACATCTCCAAAATAAAATATTTAGGTATAAACTATAAAACTACTAAGATAAAGAAATATAAATGGGTTGATAGTCCATTATTCATGGACAGAAAGTTATTAAGATGCCAATTTCTCACACTTCATCTATAGAACCATCTCAATTTCCAACAGAATTCCATCAGCTGATTAGCAGATATCAACACAGTAATTCTAACACAATACAGAAGCAGAGTTGAAAGATTAACACCACAAGGCGATCAAGATATTGTGATAATGACAAAGTAATTGACAAGTGGAAGATGGGTACAGAAGAATCTAGAAATAACTTTATAAATTTCACAACTATAAACTCAAAGCTGATCACAGACCTATATATAAAATGTAAAACTAAATGATTTCTAGAACCTAGGTAATCTTAGGTTTAACAACGACCTTTTTCTTGTTTTTAATTAAAAGATCATTTTATTGGGGACTCTTACAACTCATTACACCGATTGCATCAGGCATGTGTGTACATATGTTTCCTTCATTCATTTCTAGACATTTACTTTTTATTGAGCCCTTGGTTAACAGCTTTTTATTTCACTCCCACCCACCCCCACCCTCATACCCCCTTGACAGATTGTAATTGTTATTTTCATATTTTCCATTGACTGCTATCTCCCTTCCCTCGTGTTTTCTGCTGTTCTTCCCCTTGAAGAAGGGTGCATGGTTATGTGTCGATCATTGCAATCGGTTCCCCCTTTCTCTCTTCCACTCCGCCCCTTCTTCCTACCCTTCTGGTATCACTATTCCCACTCCTGTTCCTAGATTTCTTGTGTTGTGAGCCCCATCTCTTCTCTATACCTGTGTACGTGCTCCAGTCTAGTCTGAACAATGACCTTTCTGAGTGCCTGATGTTGGCGGTCCAGTCAATGGACGATGAGAAGTTATTACAGTGAACCCTCGCCACTTCGCGCTTCGACTTCCGCGGCTTCACTCTATCGCAGTTTTTGCTAACAGCGCATGCTCTGTCATTACTGCCACTGATTGGCTCATACTGTACACGCTTCTGTCTGCATCGCTACGTATCGGAGCTACGTATCAGATGCATTTTTGCTTTTGTACAGTGTACTGTAATTGTTTGCGATTTTTAAGAAATTTTATCTAAGCCCTATGATGGCTCCTAAACGAGCTTCTTCTTCTAAGCCTTCTGACAATAAAAATAAGCGCCAGAGGAAGATGCTCACCATTCAGGAAAAGGTAAAACTTTTGGATATGATCAAAGATGGCAAGAAAATCGTGGAGGTTGCACGCCATTTTGACTTGAATGAGTCTTCCGTTCGGTCCATCCGTAAAGAGGAAAAAAACATCCGTGCTACGGCTACTTTCACTTTCAACAAGGAAGCAAAGCGCATCGTGACAGGTCGTAATACGTTCATAGTAAAAACGGAGTCTGTCCTAGCCGTTTGGATCATTGTAACGTCCGAAATGTTTTACTGTATTTTCCCTTTTTCGTTTAATAAATTGGGTAATACGAGTGTAATGGTGACAAAAGGGTGTTTTTTCATGTCCTCTATGCTCTAACTACGAAAATATTTGATTTACAAATAAGGAATCCTACTTCGCGGAATTTCATTTATCACGGTAGGGTCTAGAACCGATTAACCGCGATAAACGAGGGTTCACTGTATTTCTCTTCTCTTATGTGCCATATCAAAAGCATAATTTACAAAAGAAAATACTGATAAGTTGGACAGCAGTAAAATAAAAAACTTCTGTTCTGTGAACGACACTATATTAAGAAAAAGAAAAGACTGGGAGAAAATATTTGAAAATCAACACATAATGGCCTTGTATACAAATGATATAAGGAACTCTTTTAACAATAAGAAAACAACCTAATTACAAAATGGACAAAAGCTCTGAAAAGGCATTTCATCAAAGACATACAGATAGCAGTTACACTGAGATTTCATGGACAGTGAAACCTCTGCTGTCGAATTCGATTTGTTCCAACTTCATATTCAAACACCATAAAGTTGGAGAACTAAACGCTTTCCCATAATAATGGAAAACCAAACAATTGGTTCTGGGATGCAAAAATTACACAGAAAATTTCCTTTTTCCAGGATTACAAATCACTACGGAGGTTTTTAGCCTTCTCGAATATCAGTCTCAGATGCACTGTCACCATCAAGTTTCTGATTTATCCACGTTACAGTAACTTTTCAACCTCTTCGATGGTCTGGGTTTTGTTTCAAAGTTAATGATTTCACACCTTTCACTACATTAGCTTCTTACTCAAATTTCACAATGATTTCTTTAACTCTACTGTGGTTCTCCTTTTTCTCTCTTAACACCTTTACTGCTGGTATGATTTTCTTTGGAGTCACGGTTATGATATTATAAGTGCATAATGAGCAAAAAAAGTACAATGGTGAATGTTTGAATGCACTAACATAACGTAAGTAGTCTGAGAGGTGAGACAACGCAAGACTCACTCTTGGTCCACACAGGTATCCCCTCCCCCCCACCCCCCCAAGAATGATTTTCTTGACTATTGAGCAAAGCTATGAACACCGAGCATATATTTTTTTAACTTTGATGTTTGCGTAGTGGAAAGTTCAAGGTTGGAGCTGTTCAACAGCAAAGTATCATCACTCTATTACCTATTAGGGTGGCTAAGATGTAAATGTTCATTTACAAACATACCAAAAATGACATGTAACTAAAATACCCTTCAGTGAACAGATAAAGCAAACCGGAAGTAAAACCACACAATGGACTTCTATTTAGTGAAAAATGTCAAGCCATGAAAAAACATGGAGGACCCTTAGCAATGTACAGTACTAAATATAGTCAAAGAAGCCAAATTTAAAAAGATATATAATGTATGATTTGTAACTACATGACATTCAGAGAAAGACAATAGTAACTGCTAGCAGTGAACACAGAAGTTACTATGTGCTGGGCACCGTGTTAAAGTGCGTATACACTTTTGTGGCAAGACAGAAAATTGAATTTCACCTAGGATGATCTGAGCCACTGTTTTCATGACTGAAAAACATTCCATTAAAAGTTTATTATTTTCGAAATTAAAGTAATTCTTTATACAAATGTTTACACTTTTAATAAACTCACCGTTTTCTGAAGACATTTTGCCCAGTATATAAGCAGAGCAGGCTGAAGGCCATGTTTCTCCTGAGCCCTTAGGGTATTTATTTCACGCTGGACTAGAAGTCGCAATTTTGCTGAGGTGCCAGGTCTGAAAAAGTTTTAAGCAAACTGCTTTGCAAACGCATATCATCACTTAAATATTTATTAACCATCAGATAATAATTTAGTTAAATTTCTTATAAAACCTAGGCAGGCAATTGCTAAAAGAATGTATTTGTTTTACTACTTACATTGCTTTTCTGTGAATCAGATTACAAACTGCATCCCACCAAGATTTTTGTCTTTCTGTACACAGCTGTTTGCAAACAGGAAGAGGTAAACACAATGGCTGATAGAAATTATAGTGAGAATTACATTTCTCTTTTAGCTGTAAGTGGCTGGTATATATTACTCCCAGAAGAAACACCTGAAAAAACGAATTTAAGTTAGAAAAAAACTAAATAAACTTTAAACATATTTAATTTGCTTAAAATATATGCTCACCTCAAGATCTAAAATACATATTGATTCAGGTGCATTTGTTTCGAGTCTTGAGGTTTCCTGGGGCAAATGATGAAAAAGCTGTTTTAGCCATTTTCTGATTGCTGGTGAGGAGGGCAGTGAATTCCACTGTAAGCCAAGCCAAGTAAGGTGCTGCAGACTCCCATTGTGTGCTCGAATGGCACCTGAAGTAAAAGAAAACAGCAGTCTTGGGGGCGTTTTTAGGAAAACTGTTTTTATCATTAGTTTTCCCATAAAAAGCCACTAACTCGCATTAAACATTATCTAAAGTTTATAACTGTCCTTCTGAGGAAATTCTATAAGCACATTTTCATACTTTCATTAAATTCATCACACTTCATACACAAAAAGTTTAATAAAAAGTTACATTGGAGAGAGAAGGGGTTGGAAAGGGGGAACCAATTACAAGAATCTACATATGGCCTCCTCCCTGGGGAATGGACAACAGAAAAGTGGTTGAGAGGAGAGGCCAGAGAGTGCAAGATATGACAAAATAATAATAATTTGTAAATTATCGAGGGTTCATGAGGGAGGGGGAAACAGGGAGGGAGAGGGGAAAATAAGGAGCTGATACCAAGGGCTCACGTGGAAAGCAAATGTTTTGAAAATGTTGATAGCAACAAATGTACAAATGTGCTTGACACAATGGATGGATGTACGGATTGTGGTTAGAGTTGTACGAGCCTCCAATAAAATGATTTTTTTTATATAAAAAACAAATAATAAAATAAAATTCAGTCTTGAAATATTAAAAAAAAATTACACTGGAGAAAGCTCACCTAAGAAACAAAGAGACACATTAAAACCAAAAAACCAATTGCCTTCGAGTCAATTCCAACTCAGAGAGACCTTAGAGAACAAAGGGAAAGTGCCCTCTAAGAAGTCCAAGGCTATAAATCTTTATCTGAGCTCGTCATCTCATCTTTCTCCAGTGAAACAAGTCTGAGTGCCAACCACTGACCTAGAAAACCAAAAAAGGGGGGCACTAAGAGGTCAAATATAAAATCTTCAAAACAATGGATTTTCCCCTTCAGTAAAAAAATAATTAACATAATGGGATCCAAAACCCAAATCACTGCCAGCAAGTTGGTTCCAACTCACAACCGTCTTCTAAAGGGTTGCTGAGGCTGTAAATATTTACGGAGTCAGCCTCATCTTTGTCCGGTGGGTCAGTTAGTGGGTTTAAACGATCAACTTTGCAAACAGCAGCCCAATGCGTATCCAACAGCTTCACAAAGGCCACATTAATTTATTGGATTAGATAACTTCTTCCACAAGAAATTCAATACTGAAAACAAAAAGGTGTAATTTTCTCAAAATACAGCAATTTTCAAAAGACTGAAAATTACTCATCTCCTTTGTTTCAGTAATATTCTTTTTAAGTTCTGTGAGAATAATATTGAATGCAGACAGTTTATAAGTGTTTTCATCACAATATTATTTGCAATAGTAAAATTTTTAAAAATGGATGCCTTCAAATGGAAAATGTTAAGAAAATCATGGCTAATCTGCAGATTATACAGCTCTGAAAGTGATATTTACAAAGAGTCTTTATAAACACAATGGAACACTGAATTACACTTGCAGAAGTTACTGAACTGGAGGTTTTGTTGTATATGTATTTGCCACAATTGAAAAAGAAAATTACACAAATAACAATGAGTCAAGGAAGAAAATGTTCTAAAACTGATTGTGGTACTAACTGTACAACTCTTCTGGATATGAGTGAACTATTAAATTGTGTGATGTGTGAAGTACCAATAAAACAGTTTTAAAAACACACACAAAATTTTACATTTTGAAAAAAATAAACACTATGGAAAAGCAAAAATAAAGACGACAAATTACCCTACCCCCCAAAATAAAAATTCTGAAAGGAATAAAGGAAATGATCTTTTTCTGGATAATGAAGTCATGGGAAATTCATTCTTTTTAAATTTTGCTGTCCTCTTCAGATAAAAAAAATTACGACGTGGTTTTCTTGGGTTTTTTCTTACCAACATCATATCTAGCCAATTCGTCAGGCTCCGGGGCTCGCACATCAATGTCTGCGATATCATCACTACCAAGGAAAGAGCTGTCCTTAGCTGACTGGCTGGAGAACAGAGCATCATATAAAGCAGACTGCCCACTCTTGTTGGCAAAGGACTCCACGACCTCTTTCAAGAAATCTTGCTTTCCATGACTTAAGTTTAGCAGCATGTGCCCTGAAAAAGATTGTATTTATTATTATATCCCCATCATTTTGAAAATAGATTGTTCTTACTCACATCTCTCACTAGCTTCATTAATCACCCTAAAGAGGAAGTAACATGATTACCTTCTACCTAACCCACCAACCACCACACACACACACACACACACACACACACACACACACACACAGATTCCTTATGTTGAAAACGGACATTGATAACTTCGTAGTTCTTGTATCTGTTAGAGAAAATAAGAGAATGCATGTGAAGAATGTCAGAATCTTTACATTTCAGATGGAGAAGTGCAGGATTTACGTGCCCACAGGAAAGCAAAGTCAAGATCTAATTCCTCTGGACAAATATATTAATTTATAAATACGAGTGATCGGATTCATGGCTTTTTAGAAATAATTTACTTACAGGACTCACTCCCAAATATTCTGATTCCACAGGTACGGAGTTAAGAATTTATTTTAAAAACAAAGTATAAATGAAGTACTGGTATATGCCACAGCATGGATGAACTTGACATTATTGTACAAAGTAAGAGAAACCAATCACCAAAAGATCACATCATGTAGGATTCTATGAAATAAAAAACTGTTCTATCGAGTCATTTTCCACTGAGAGCAATTCTACAGGACAGAGTAGAACTGTCCCACTGGGTTCCCAGAGTTGTCTTTACAGAAGCTGACTGCCACAACTTTCTCCCATGGAGCAGCTGGTTGAGTTTGAATGCTGACCGCCATCAGCAGCTAAATGCTCTAACTGCTGCAACACCAGGAATCCTCATTAATATGGAGTGTCCAGAATAGGCAAATTCATAGAAGCAGAAAGTACGTTAAAGTAGGTTAAGGATGGGGAAGACTGAGGAGGCACTTGAATGACCACTAATGACTACATAATTTACTTATTGGGTGATAATGTTCTTAAATGTATTGTAAATATGCTACAAATCACTGCATCATATACTTTAAATGAATGGACTGTATAGTGTGTGTATGTCCATAAAGTTTTAAAAATAACAAGGATACTCCTGTGATTGCTGTGCTCAGTAAGGTTAGGTGTCTTACTGAGCTTGCAGACACACTGGAATGTCCAGATAAGTTAAGGAGGGCAGGGGGCAGCGCTCCAGTGAAGTTTACTAGGAAGGCGGAGTACATCCAGATATCTTTGCTACAGAATAAAGAGGTATTTGGAGGGGGGGTGGGGGGGGGATGGAAATCACTTCAAGGGCTGAAAGTCGAATTCCCACAACCAGTATGACTCTGTTAAGACAGAGGAGCAATATAAACATCTTGAGTCCTTAGACCAAGGCCTAGCTAAAGACCAAAGTTTAAAGTAACTTTGATACAGTATTTGATCTTTTTTTGTACAAAAGTTCCTTCAACTTCATATTAACACTGCTCCTTACAAAACTATTACGTACTTCAGTCACTGCTTGATTCACTGGCAGTAGCTACACCAATCTCTTTAAGTTATTTCCTAGTAAAATTACAAATACATAACAGACTATAGATAGGGTCTACCCAAACAGACAAAACTGCAAATAAATCTACAAACTTCAAAATAAAATGTGTGGGGATATCATCTTTATTCCTCCCTATGCTGTCAGTTCCTCAAGAGATATATATCTGTATATTCTTCCATCTTTATATGCCACCCATAGCATTGCTCAACAAGCAGCTGACGCTAATTTGTTGGTAAATCAAAAAACGTATTAAGTTTAGGGCAAGCGTGTAAGGCATCATCAGAACAAAAAATCTTACCATAGTGAATGATGGGGGGAGTGCGGAGTGGAGATCCAAAGCCCATTAGTAGGCCACTGGAG